GCCCCAGCCTCCCAGCACTTAAAAACAAAAAAGGCACCACACTCACCGGCTGTAGCAGTGGTAATGAGGGCCTCTGGGGTGTTTCAGAGCCTCCCATTTTGTTTTGGATTCGGTGTTTCAGGTGCCAAAACGCCTCCGAAACGACACGGCTGCCAAAATTTTGCACAGCCCTAATCTTCACATACAAGTTACTTTCCTAGACAGAAGGGGAGGGTATCCATTGCCTCCACAGCCACATCTCTCTCCCAGTCCCCACAGAGGGCAGGAGGGATGCTTTAGTAAAAAAACAGGGTATCACTGTCCATGCCAGGGCCACAGAGATTCGCGATAAAAGACAACGCAGCCTGGAGCTGTTTGGAGAAGCAAGGGAGTAGAGGGGCTAGAGGATAGAAAACATGGTAAAAGCCAGAGCAAACATAAGCAGTACAAAGCTACTTTACAGATGGCCCTGACTCTTACTAGATCCCAGGGGACTGGTCAGATTTGGAACAGCTCTCGTCCAGTCGTCCCCATGCCTCCCTCCCCTGAAAAATGTCAGCAGGGAATCCTGCAAGAAAATGCTTGCAGCAATTCCCTCTAGAGTCCAGTCTCGTCCCACCTTCATTAATTTTCCTGACAGTAACTGGAAACTATGCATCAAAGAAGTCGGTCTTGTACTTGATCCAGCAGAAAGCCTATAGGCTTGTACATCCGCATCACTCAAGTGCCCCGTCTGAGTCTAGGTCCAATAACAGATAGCTATTTCTTTTTTAAGTTTTTAAAAATTTGAATGAAATACTTACTGGGCTCTAATATGAGCCTGTCCACACTCAAGTCCTTCAGGCTCCTGTAGCACTGATTGGAACAGTCCCCTTATTACTCAAAAATGCGGATAAACCTTCTGGCAAGGCAACCATTACATTTATAAAGTGCCTTGCCTGCAAAAGATGGCAGAGAACCATGCCTAAAAACATAATACAAAAAAAGCAAGACAGCCACAGGCTGAACACCAGGAAGGTGAGTGGAACAGAGACCTCTTATTGCATTTTTTAGCTTTTTCCAGGGACCCACCGACTGAGAAGGTCGGTGAGAAGCAAGTTGCATCACTTGACCGACTAATAAACAAATGTCCTTGCACCTGCTGAATTTCTCACACTGCAAAGGCCACATGAGGATAGGAACCAGAGAAAGACAGGGAACTGGCACACAGACAAGTCCCCTACAAAATATACAGGGCCCGAGTCAGAGACCACACATAATATAACCCTTCAACTGATCCAGTGCTTCTCAAGAAATGATGCATGGGGCAACATGCACCTGGTCAGAATAAAAAGCCTGGGAAAAATTGGAGGCAGTGAACAATGAAGGGTTATGACAGCAAAAACAAAGCTAGAAAACAAGCATTCATATTATCAAGTTCAGGTCTGTGTTTCTGATAGCTGCTCTGGGGCACTGACCCGCTCACAGCTTCTGGGACTTCTGCAGACTCTCTCACACAAGGGTCATGGAGATAGTTAAGTCTCAGGGAAATTTCTAGCTACAGTTGAGGGGGAAAATGTTGGCTGCTTTTGCAGAAGCAGCATGTCAGGTTGTGAAAGCACACACAGAAGCAAGCACCGAACGCACTTCACCCCCGTATCGTGCAATCTGGCATGACAGCGGTGTTTTAAAACCATCTTTCTTATGGCCGTTCTCGCTTTGTTTCTATGGCATTCATGAAATAATATGGGCTCCCTCTGCTGGTCAACCTTGCGTCTAGGTCTCCAGTAGATCGGCTGTCTGCTTTCTATTTCAGAACATCCTCTATTTAATAAATAAAACCCCACCAAGAGTTAACACTCCCAATGACTTCCTTACAATGTAATCGCAGAATCGCTTCTTACTGTTGTTCTAACGTTTAAAAAAAAATGTTAAACATGCCAAGATGTAAGCCATATTAAAAAAACATCTAGGGATGGGGGTGAAGAAGTCAATGGCTTAGTCAATGTAACACAATTAATGCTAAACTGGTGTCCTGTACATCCCATCAACCCTGATTTACAACTTCTGTATGTGACTTTAGGGTTCCTAGGAAAGGGCTAAATTAGCCTTATGTCTCATTTAATGCCATGATTTACCATGGGGAACCCTTCTCCAAAGGAGATGTTTTTCCAGCTAATCACAGCTTTAAATGTACTTGAATTGTTCTCCCCTTCCCTTGGCTTCCTTCCTTGTGGCACTGTTTTGAATCAGACTAAGAACTGCAAGAGCCCACCAATCTGGTGGTAAGAGCATGGAGGACAGCAAGAAAGACTCTTTAATAAAAAGAAAATGCAAAGAGAATGGGAAAGAGAGAAGCTGATCTGAGCAGAGCATCTGGCCTGGCCCATCTCAAGAGATTTCTAGACCCCAAGATGACCTCAATGAGGACGGCAGGTACTCAACACCTGCTGGGAGCGACCTGTTCAGCCATGGGGCTGAAAGTAATCCGGCCTTCTTCAGTGAGGAACATCAGGGTGAAGTCTGCTCTGACTGAGGGAAGAGCAGCGGAAAGGGCTGGCAGTCAGTCACTAGCAACTATAATAAGAACATCACCAGCACATGGAATAACTCCTTTTTAAAAATCGCTGCCCTCATCGTCCAAAGACAAACAAACAGACCCGCTGACCCTTTAACCGAGTGATGATTCTTGCATGCAGCAAAAGAGCCACTTAAATCTCAACTGCTTTTCATCCAGACACAGAAAAGGCTTTTTAACCCTTTGCTCAGATGACATTAGTCCTATCCCAATACAGGCAACTCAGTCTAAAAGGCTGCAGCCTAAGGCTAGGGACAGATTTATACATAAACCGGTGTAAGTGATCAGAAACCGGTTCAGATCTGTAACACAGCAGAAGTTCAGCTCATGTAAACTGCTTTTGAAATGGCCAAAACTGGTTTAAGATAAAACTTGGATGGATGTAGTATCAGACTTATCTGGGTTAAGATAAATCAGTGTACTGAACTTCTGTCTCTGATCCCCTCCAGATTCAAGTTAACTCACAGTGCCCCAGCATCCCAGGATTCTTTGTACTTTTCCCACAAACTGCCCCCCACACAGGGTGGGTGGGCTAACCTTGACCCACACAGTCTGCTCCAGCTGAGCAGAGAGGCAGGCATGCTGGCATGCTCTAGCCCCCCCCCCCCCCCCCTT